AGAACCAGTGGAGCCATTGGAATCTTAATACATTTTATTGATCCTAGAATAACTGAACAATTGCAAGCATTCCTTATTGGCTATGCAAAATCTCAAGCTTAGATTTAAGGAATTCACTTTCATGAAGTTTTGTGCTTTAATACCATAATAGTTTCCTCCTAGCACAGTCAGTCTATCTCTAATCACCATTAAAAATCTATATTCCATTGTAGGCAACATGCTGTTTGTCAGAGACAAAAAACATTCCTCAAAGGCAAACTTTACTACCAATTCGGAGATATTATTCTGTAGTTCTGAACCAGAAACATCAATCTTCTTTTACGTTCTTCCCCACACTCACCATATACCCTTGGAAATGTTCCAAAATAGCTCTCTACCCTCACTGACATCTGGTACCAGGGATAACAAAAAAGATGAAGATACATGCTCTAAATAACCAAACAAGCGTTACAAAAGGAAATGTAGGTCGACTTCAGATCTCCTTATGCATAGGTAAGGAAAAACAAGATTTTAGAGAGAGATGAAGAATAGAAAGGAAAAGATGGAAGAAAGGAAAGAAGGAAGGGAGGGAGGGAGGAAGGAAGGAAGGAAAGAGGGAAGGAAGGAAAGAAGGAGAAAGAAAACAAAAAGAAAAGAAGAAAGAAAGAAAGAAAGAAAGAAAGAAAGAAAGATGATTCTTCTGATTTCAGATCTTTACCCTTGAAGTTCATCTCAATCCTTGTTTGAATGAACCCCTCTGAACGTCAATAAAAAGTTTATGAAATAAATAAAAGAAATACATTTGCAACATTCTGTCTATGTCTTAGCAAAAAAAAATAATCTATAAACACTTGTTCATACAGCTACAGTGATGAAAATTTTTCATAAGGAATGAGACCTAAGGTCTAAGCCAATTGATTTCATAGCTGTACAACTAAATTTTAAAGTGTGGCCAGAGGTGATCTCTTTGGTCGCCCATAAACAGTAGGAGCTCAGATTAATCCTTTCTGAAGGAGAAAGGGGAAATGCAACTGAATCACTTCTAAAAGTCTCTGGATTGCAAATGAATAATATTTGCTTTTGCATTTATACTGATTGTCTTAAGATAAAACCCATTTAATAACATGCATTTCATATTTCATTGAAGCAACATCTTCTGCTTGGTTTTTCACAATCTAATTGGCCAACATGAAATAAATTTCCATTCTGAAAGCCAAATTTCATAAGAGAAAGAAAGAATAGCTGCTCCTCATTTTTGTCTTTATAGTTTACAAAGGAAAACAAAAGAAAAGAACTCACATACATCATCCCATTTAATTCTTGTCTTGGTTAGAGATTGTTTGGTGGTAAGGAAAAGTTTTCCTTAATAAGGGCAAATAAGAGTTTTATTAGAAAGCTACAGGAAGGAAAATTTCGTGGATATTCATAGGTGAGAAATAAAGTATAGCAGGGCCTCTTAGGGAAAGATTAGAAAATGGAGATTCAAAAAATGTGGTCATCTCTCTTGGTCAACATGCTTTCTGGTCTCCTTTCTAACAGAATATCTCCTGATCCTTGGTCTAATCCATTGTGTCCATTGTTTCCACTCAGCATGAGTAATTGCCATGAGTCACATCAAAGTTTGTAGGAAGATACTGCTTCAAGCCATTTTCTCTCAAAGAGAGTTATAATTATGGTAGATTCTTGGATTTCCATGAGCTCCTCTATTCTTTTTACTACATGAGTCCTCATTATCCTTGATCAAATAGAAGATTCCTTCTAACTGGTCCACAGCTTCCAGATGGAAGATGGATACAGACACAGTCATGGAGAAAGAAGGAGAATCAATGTCAATTGATTCAGCAAAGTCAATCAAAGTTGACCTCTTTTCAATGGGCTCATGAGAAATGAAATGTTTTCTGGGACACAAAGGAGAGATAGGGCAATATCTCTTTATGAGAAACTGATCCAAAAGAAAATGTTGTTTTGTAGTCAAAAATTGTCAAGTATCAGCAATTTCATGTAGTCCAAGTGAATAAAAAGAGTGTAACCAGACAAGTCATCTTAATTATTAATAATATAGATGGTAGGGGTGCCTGGGTGGCTCAGTCATTAAGCGTCTGCCCTCAGCTCAGGTCATGATCCCAAGGTCCTGGGATTGAGCCCTGCATCAGGCTCCCTGCTCAGTGGGGAGCCTGCTTCTCCCTCTCCCTCTCCCACTCCCCCGCTTGTGTTCCCTCTCTGGCTGTCTCTGCCAAATAAATAAAATCTTTTTTTAAAAAAGTACAGATGGTAAAATTTTACTGATATATTATTCATATACTTAAATTAAATCATCCTGCTTTTTATCTCAATATATTTGTTTCTTTTTCAATATATCTGGAAGAATCTTTTTATTGGTTAATGAAGATTTTTCTCAATTGTCTGAGTTTATATTTTTCTTCCACTTGATCAAAATATCTAGAGTTCCTGGTTTAAAGGCTATCTGAGGTTATTTTTTCTTAATCACCTTTCATCCAAAACCAGTCAACTTATTCTTCCAGAACAAAAATGCATGTTCAGAAATAATACAATCACTAAGAGTCCAGATGTCCAGTATAATCCAGCAACAAAAAAAGGGGGGAGATGGACATAGTCACATGATTCCTGTTATTCCTCCATATTAAGAAACAAGGAGATCCAAATTATTGTACAGAAGAGTAAAAACATCATAACCTGGTTTTATTTCCAACTTCTTCCACATTATCAGGTTTGCAATCTAAGGAATGTTGATGAACCAGCTAAACCTCTGTCTGTACATGTAAATTGAGGAATGAAAGTACCACGAAGACAGAGCTGAAGTGAGCACTAACTGAAACCATGCATTTATTTATCAGGTTTCTGTTATGTGCCAGCACTTTGCTAGAGCAAAGATACAACAGAAGAAAAAGAAAGACACAGTCCCTTTGAAACTTCTTAATGCTTATAATCTAGGGATGGTGGGGATGGGGGGAACAAAGACAATAACCAAAGGATCATAGAAATAAATCTCAGTAACTGTAAATTTTCTGAAGGAGAGTAATTTTCTGAGAATGTGGTAGGAGGGTGCAGGCAGAGGGAATAGATCAGATCGTATGGCCTGAAGGCATGTGATTAGAACAAGGAGATGACAAAACATCTAAGTGGCTAAATGAAGGGAAGGCTGATATGAAATAGGGCTAGAGAGATAGTAGGGTCCAGAGATTTTTACTTTATCCCATGAACATGAGAAACCATCAAATATTTTTAGAAGAGAAATGATATGATGTAATTTAATATTCAAAAATACCAGCCTGGCTACAGTGTGGACAAGAAATTAGAAGGGGTCAAAAAGGATGCAGTGATATAATGCAGTGATCCAGGTGAGAAATGATGGCAGCCTTGGATTAAATGAAGTAGAACTGGTAAATCCTGATGTCAGATTAAATATGGAGAATAAAGGAGAGGGATGGGGATAATTCATAAGTTTCTGGCTTTGTAAGATACAAGTTAGGAACACTAAAAACGAACTAAGGATACGTGATGAGGAGCAGGTGAATGCATTTTAGAACTTGTTGAATGTAAGATGTCTCTGAGACATACAGTAGAGATAACCAAGTAGGTATTTGAGTATTCAGATCGGAAGCTCAGTGGAAAAGTCTGGGTTATAGATGCAAACTTGTGAGTCATGTGCAGTATCTGTTTTAACTAAGGTCTTGCATGAGTGTGCATCAGATGTTCTAGGGGGAAGCATAGAATAAAAAGGAGAGAGAAGGATTGAGCTTGTCCAGAAGAGGACTAACTGTGTAAAGGAGTCAAAGGTGAAACACCCAGGAAGGTGGGAGAAAACCAGGAGACAATCATGCTAAAAATACAATGTTCTGAAAAAAAGGCTATGGTCAGCACAACTGAGTGCTGCTGAGAACAGGTACAATGAGAACCAAAACGCACCTTGCTAAGTGTATGCCACTCATTCACTGAATGAAATATACTAATTTGACCCTGCAGCTGATTTCCCTGTGGTAAAACAGTAAAGGAAGACCAAAGAAGAGGGTTTGATATCCCCCTCATTGGAAGTTGATTCGTTTTCAATAAGCCCTTCTGGATTTGCCCAGCCCCTCATCTGTCCTAATTCTGCTCAAGCATGACCTTCTGTAACTGATATTTGTTGAGATTCCCTATCCTGGGTACTATTTTCATGCTTAAATGTATAAATTCATTTAACCCTCATAATGATCTCATGCACAGGGCTTAATAACAACCCTCACTTTACAGATGAAGAAAACAAAGGACAAAGAGGGTAAATATCTTGCACTGGGCCACCCATCTAGTGGGTTGACAGAGCAGAGATTCAAACCCAGGCATCCGGGCTCCAGAATTAGTGCTTTAATGATCTCACCACCTCTGCAAAACCCTCCTTAACAGCCCCAAGTGGATGTCGATGTATTTCTTCCATGGTCCCATGGCACCCTGTGCATTTGTCCCTTCATGAAACTTGCTATTTTCAAAAATGTCTCAAGCTCTACTGCCCAACAGAAATAAATATTGGTGACAAATGTAAGCCACATACACAATTTAAAATTTTCTAGTAGTCACATTTTAAAAAGTAAAAGAAATAGGTGAAATGATTTTAATAGTATATTTTATTGAGCCCAAGTGTGATGGTTAATTTTATGAGTCATTGTGGCTAGGCTATGGTACCTAATTGTTTGGTCATGCACCAACCCAGATGTTGCTATGAAAAAAATTTTTAGACATGATTAACACTTAAATCAGTAGATTTAAGAGGTGACTGGGTGGCTTAGTTGGTTAAGCAGCTACTTTTGACTTAGGCTCAGGTCATGATCTTGGTGCCCTGGGATCAAGCCCTGTGTCCAGCTCCAGGCTCAGAATTAATCCTCAATCCTGCTTAAGGATTCTATGTCTCTCTCCTTCTCCCTCTACTCTCCTCCCACTCATGCATATGCTCTCTCTCTTTCTCTCTCAAATAAATAAATAAATCTTTGGAAAAAAATCAGATTTAAGTAAGCAGATTACCCGCCATTCTGTGGGTGGGCCTTATCCAGTCTGCTTAAGGCCTTAAGAAAAAAGACTGAGGTTTCCCAGAGAAGAAACTTGACCTCAAGAAGGCAACATAGAAATCCTGCTTGTTTAGTTTCCTAGAGCTGTCATAATAAAATAATAAAATATCAGAGACTGGGTGGCTTAAACAATAGAAATTTATTTCTCACAGTTCTGGAGGCTGGAAGTCCAAGATCAAGTTTTGGCAGTTTGGTTTCTCCTGGGGTCTCCTTGGCTTGCTGAGGGCCACTTTCCTGCTGTGTCTTCCATGGCTGTTTCTCTGTGCTCATGCATCACTGATATCTCTTACTTTTCTCATAAGGACACCTGTCAGATAAGGGGTCCACCCTTATGACTCCATTCAACTTTAGTTACTTTAAAGGTCATATCTTCAAAAGAGTGGCAGGGTGTAGGTGGGGCAATAATTCAATCCCTTAGAATTCCCAGGTTGCCTGCCTGCCTGTTCTACCCTCCTGATTTCAGACTCAAGAATACAGTATCAACTCTTACCTGAATTTTAGCCTACCAACCTGCTCTGCAGATTTCAGACCTGCCAGCCCTTACATGTGTATAAACCAGTTGTTTAACTATCCCCCTCTCCTTCTCCTGTCATTCTGTTGATAGATAGGCAGAGAAATACTACAGGTTCTGTTCCTCTGGAAAACTGACTAATACATCATTATACCCAAAATATTATCATGTCTACATTTCTACATGTAATCAATATAAAAACTATTAATGAGATATTTTACATTTTCATGCTAAGTCTTTGAAATCTGGCTTTTATACCTAAAGCTCTTCTCAATGTGGGTTTGCCATATTTCAAGTGTTCAATAGCCACATGAAGCTGGTGGCTATCCTTACACGCAGGGTGGATCTAGAACAAGGCAACAAAATGGAGGAAAAAGAGGTAGGATTGAACGCTACTGTGTCACTGAGGCTCAGTGAGGTGAGCTATAATTTCCCTTAACAGGAGGACCTCTCTGAGCCTAGGTGTTCTCATACCCAAATGAGGGGTAATAGTACTTACCTCAGAGAGCTGTTGTGAAGATCCACTGCAAAGCCTCTAATGGACTACCTACCTGATAAAGTATAGGTGCTCAATAAACATCGGGTACTTCCTTTCCCTCTTAGTCCGTATATGTGTTTTCTTATCTTCCCTCTTTAAGGAAAGGGTCTGTGTTTATTCTTTCTTTCTCCAGTTTCGTACATTGGTAGGTGCTTAAAATATGCCTGAGGAATTAATGAATGGTCTTACACTGCTGTGGTGGAGTATATCTACTTGTTGATGTATATTTTCCTTTGATAAATCATTCTTTAAAACACTTTGGAAGGACTTGCAAGTTGTGGAGCTGTTGACATTGTAGTGGGTGGTTCAGGGGAGAAATGAGTCAGATTTGAGTTTGGGGATTTGAGGGAAGAGCCTGTTAAGCTAAGAGAAATAGGGCAGCATCACAAATAAAACCAACCAGGAAAGATATACCACAGACATCTCTGACATAAGAGTACACCAAATTTTTAAGTTCTTTACTGCATATAATTTTCCATTACTGAGGATAAATTTGACAAGTGTTAATGAGATGAGATGTATCCTCATTAAAGAAAAAAAAATAGGAAACACATTTACAACAAGTCACAGAAAATCTAGTTTAGATGAAATATTTTTCCCTGCCAGTAAATATATTTAAAAATCCTAATTCATAGGCAAAAATAAAATTTTCTGGTAATATGCCATTTGATAAAGACACTCGATTATTTAGTCAGGGTTCTTCAAAGAAATAGAGCCAATCAGATGTATATAGACAGAGAAAGAGATTTAGTACAAGAAAATGGCTCACATGATTATGGAAATTGACAAGTTCCAAGATCTTCAGTCACATGCTGGAGACCACCGGAGAACTGATGGTGAATGTAGTCCCAGTCTGAATACTGGCAGGCCCAAGACCCAGGAAGAGCTGATGTTTCAGTTAGAGTCTGAAAGCAAGAAAAAAAAAAAAAAGCTGTTGCCTCAGCTTAAAGGCTGTCAGGCATAAGGAGTTCTTTTTGTGCAAGAGGGCCAAATTTTTGTTCTATCAAGGCCTTCGAATGATTGGATGAGGCCCACCCACATTGGGGAGAGCAATCTGGTTCAGTCTTCCAACTCACATGTTAATCACATCCAGAAACTCCCACAGATACACCCAAAATAATATTTGGCCAAATGTCTGGGCACCCTGTGGTCCAGTTAGGTTGTCACATACAGTTAACCGTAACATCTGACAAGGCACAATATGCTGTCATGGAAGAGATTTCTATCAGAGCTTAATATGTCAATAAAGCATTCCCTTCGCAGACTGCTTTCTTTTTCCCCCTGCTCTGCCTCTTCTTTGTATAAGCTGTTAGAGAAAACACTCAGGAATGGAAACTAACGTTTTGGGGACACCACTCTGTGCCACACATCTTACCAGATACTCTTGCACACTGTCCCCACAAGTGATGAGGCCAGGAGGACTCCTCCAAGAGGCAGCAGCCTTGGGAAGGCCACCGCAGCCCAAACTCCACTGCTCAGTCTTGTGTCTTTGAAAACTCAATCTTTCCAGTGTCCCAGACTTAGTCAAACTTCGGAATTGTAACATGCCAGCTAGATTCGGGAGACTTTTTCTATATATGCCAGGGGGAAAAAACACTAATGATGAAAGATACAATTGCCAAGGGGTCCTCTAGCCAAAGCATTCCTTCCTTGTAAACCTATATCAGAAGTCAAAATATAATTAAAATATTGCTTAGTGAAAATGAATTCAGAGTAAGTGGGGGTTGATTTAAACAAGATGTTCAATGGCATCAAGCAAAGAATAATGCTATACTTTCAACAGTTAGTATCAGACAGGACAAAACTTGGGGACAAATTTCTTTAGAATTCTCTGCCAAAGTGTACTTCATGAATTCTTCATTTTATTCTTTCACATGCCAGGCTGACCAACTGCCTTTCTGTTGAACACACTATTTCTTCTAAAATCATTTAACAGGTTACAAGTCAAATTTTATTGATTCATAAGCTATTCTGTCTCAGTAAGATGACTTCCATAGTTCTCCTTTTAATGTCCTTAATTTAAAAAGAGAATATCACCACTTGACTTTGTTTTCATTAATATCAATTTAATCTCTAGCAATTCTGTTCCAGCAGTCTATTGCTGATTAACTATCACAAAACATAACGGCTTAAAACAAGAACCATTTTATTAGTATCACTGCTATTCTCCACACATTCTCAGTTTTCATCTCAGGTTCTTGGTATAACTGACACTAGGATGTTCTAATATTTTTAAATAGTGTTCTAGGGCTCTCCAATTTTTGGAAGGAGTAACTTTTATATTTCCTACCTGAACGGTCTTCATAAATGTGCTGCCCTCTAGGCATTATTTTACTCCTTACCATTATACAATCATATCTCTCCTGTGTTCTGACCTCTTAGAAATCTGAAGAGTGACTGGCTAACTAGTCTGTCAGACTACTCTAAAGGTGTTAATGATGATAAAAACAGGTGATATGGGGAAGCTGGCTGGCTCAGTTGGTAGAACATGCTTCTCTTGATCTTCAGGTTATAAATTCAAGCCCATGTTGAATGTAGAGATTACTTAAAAATAAAATTTTTAGGGGCACCAGGGTGACTCAGTCAGTTAACCATCCAGCTCTTGATCTCAGCTCAGGTCTTGATCTCAGGGCTGTGAGTTCAAGCCCCACATTGGGCTCCATGCTGGGCATGAAGCCTACTTTAAAAAAAATTCCTTAAAAAATATAAATAAGTAAATAAATAAAAACAGGCAATATAAAGATCATTCTTCAATGCCTTAAGCTAAAGGATTTGATAAATCTGAAATACAAGCATAAAAGCAGTGTAGGGTAGAAAAAAATATTTGATCTGGGAAGGGAGATTTGAAGGTGAGGAATCACTTCATTTATAGGAAAATACATGTTAACCCATAAAACATAATTCCTTGATATGAACTCCCATTTTGTGACAGGCAGCCCAAGAAGGTAAATTCCACATTTAATAGAAAGATTTTTAAAATCACATTAATCTTTATAAAGGGTCTATAATCTCTGGCAAACTTCTCATTTTCCAAGTAATGTTAAATAATGAATCACACAACATTGAGCCATCAAGTCTTCAACCTCATACCTCATGGTAGGAGCATGGACATTGGAAGGATCTTGTAAGAGAAGGATCTCATTAGATTCCTGATACTTCATGAAGTATCAGATCCTTTCTAGTGCTTTCTAGTGCTGAGACCTCAGAAGACATTTTTTTTCTTCTTGTTTTCCACAGAAAACCATAATGTGCAAGAATTTGTTTTTCTCCTGTTGTATTCTTTTATTCAACAAATATTTGTTGCATGTTACCATGTGCCAGGAAATGACACAGCAATGAGCAGGTATGACCATGCCCTAAGGAAACCTAAAGTCTCAATATAGTCTCTCAAACCTGGAATCCTGTTGGAACTTTCCATATGATCCTTCCATCCTTCCTGTTTTCCTTCCTTCCTTTTTGCTTTCTCTCACTCTCTTTTTTTCTTTCTTTCTCTTTCTTTCTTTCTTTCTTTCTTTCTTTCTTTCTTTCTTATTTAGCATCTATCTATCTAGCTAAGTATCTATCATCATCTTTCTCATAGGGTACTGGTTAAGAGAACAAATTCTAAAGGTAGAAGGCAAGGGTTCATAATCCAGTTTTCCATGGGTAAAAAAAAGTTTTAAAAGAATTATAGACAGGTGAATGGATGGATAGATAGATGAATAGATGATAGATAAAGAGATAGATAAGATAGATTTCAAATGAAATCGTAAGTGAAGTACCTATGGAAAGCAGAACTAACAATAATCATTAAATCTCAGAATAAATCTCTGAGAGCATTTTTGTCATAACTACCTTGTTTTTTCCTTAAGATATTATTCTCACAATATTCTCAGACAATAATGCCTAAATATTTTGTAAATCATTACATTCAACCTTCTTTTTCTTCTCCCTTGTGCACTGTTGGCCAATGAAACAGTTTCATTTTCACTTTTCAAAATGATAGCATAAAAAAACAGAAGTGAAAGTATGAATCATAATATAATCAGGAGTTCATAGTGACATATCCATTTATAACTCAGAAAACCACAGGGTATTTCCAAACTGATGTCATTCATAGAAAGAATGCCATGTGTTGTGGAATAATAAGAAAAATTACCTACTCCAACTGGGGTATTTATAATGCATATGGGATATTCCCAGCTAATTCTTTTAATTTATTTTTAATTTTATTACAAATATCATTCTCTATTTCAAATACTTAAATTGACACTCATCTTAGACATTACACTGGACTCTGAATTATATTTTTTTAAATTTTGATATCATTCTTTTACTTCAGAAGTCATCAGTATAAGTGCTTTATGTAAGTCAAGGTTTTCCTTTTTTTCTTTTAAAATCTGTATAAATATTAAGATTACCATGAAATTCTGTGTAATTATTTTACTTTTTGGAAAAAATGGAATTAATCTTCACTCAAATTATTAAAATTGATTTTTTTTCTCTTTGGAAGTGGAGAGAAATAATATAAATTTTGTTTCTACTTTTTCCAACTAAATAATCAAAATGGGATTTTTCCTTTCCACTATATTCAGTTTTTTTAAGAACTTAGATTATAGTATATACTAAGTAAATTAGTGATATGACAGAAAAGAAACATTATTCAGAAAATTATTTCTTTGGCTTATCTACATTCACTTCAAAAAATTCTTTGGATACATTAGTTCCACCATCTTTGCAGCTAAGTTTACTAGTTCGTTTGTTCTTTTGGTCCAGATCCTAATATCCAGTTGTGAGGACAATGCAGTTATATCCTTTTTCAATCAGTGGATGTTCCCGGTTTCCCATTAGCCAATGTCCCCAGCATGAGAGACTCCACAGAAGTCACACCACTAACTCACCCAAGTAGCACCACTAGTTTGCTCTTTGGTGTCTGAGGCTTATCCATGAGCCCAGTGGTTTACCCACAATGTCTGGTCCTGATGCCTGCTAGGAGCTGCTTTGTTGACCTGGATTTTTCAGTAGAGCAGCAGCTGAATCTGTTAACAGGATGGGCTGACTCCATTTGATTAAGGAACAAATTTAAAAATATATCTGAAAATTAAATTCCTCCTTATTCCATCAGCAAATAGAAAGTCCACATGGACTAAAGAATTAAAAACTAAAAGCAACCCTTAAAAGTTCTAGAAGAAAATGTAGGAGACTATCTTATAACATTGAAGTAATGGAAGATTTCTTAAAATATAAAAAGGTTCAGGGTGCCTGGGTGGCTCAGTGGGTTAAAGCCTCTGCCTCAGCTCAGGTCATGATCCCAGGGTCCTGGGATTGAGCCCTGCATTGGGCTCTCTGCTCAGCGGGGAGCCTGCTTTTCCCTTTCTCTCTCTCTGCCTGCCTCTCTGCCTACTTGTGATCTCTGTGTCTGTCATATAAACAAATAAAATCTTTTAAAATATATATATATATATATATACATATATATATATAAAGGTTCATCGGTTGTAACACATATACAACTCTGATAGGGATGTTGATAATGAGGGAGGCCATGCGTTCGTTAGAGGAGGAGGTATATGGGAAATCTATCTTCTGCTCAATTTTGTATGAAACTAAACCTTTAAAAATAAAGTCTATGAAGAAAAAAAAAGACTAAACCATCAAGGATAAACTATAAGATGAATACATTTGATAACATAAACATTTTAAATCTTTATACATTAGAAAGCACAAACAAAGTTTAAAGGCAAGCTACAGAGAAAATATTTACAATGTATTTGAGAAATAATTTAATCTATAATAAAGAAAAATATCCTATAAGTAAGACAAAGACAAAAGACCAAAAAAGAAATTAATATAAACCTTTAGTTCACAGAAGAGAATCTCTATATGACCAATGAAGATATTAAAAAAAAAAAATGTAACTTGCTGGTAATAGGAACATGTAAATTAAAACAAGGTACTCTTTCATGTCCTCTGACTGGAAAAAATTCAAAAGTAAGTAGTGGTGAGGAAGTCGGGTAACCAGGACTTTCAAATTATTAATGTTAATTCCTGATGATTAATGAACAGTGAAGTTTTACTACAGGGAATGATTGAGAGAGCAAATCGGTATGATTTTGAAAGCATTTTCATAATACCTAGCAAGTTTAAAGGTACTAACCCAGCAAGTCAACTTCTGAAGTATGAATTACAGAAAAACTCTTGCACAAGGACACTTCTAGAATACTCATTGCAAAATTCCTTATTTTAAAAAAAATATTTGTTTATTTGAAAGAGACAAAGAGAGGGCATAGAAGTAGGGGGAAGGGCAGAGGGAGAGGAAGAGAGAGAATTTCAAATAGACTGCCCACTGAGCACAGAGCCCTGACACAGGGCTTGATCTCTGCGACCCTGAGTTCATGACCTGAGCTGAAACAAAGAGTTGGTTGGCCAACTAGCTGAGCCACCCAGGCACCCTGCAACATTTTTTATAATTCCAAAATGTTTGTTGTTGGAAGAACAGATCCTCTTGATTTCCTTTGTCACAATTCCAAGCAGATATTTCCTCTATGGGGTCTTACTATTCTCTTCTTTATATGGTTGGAAATTAGGTAAGGACCCTATCTCCCTGTTTCCACAGATTCCTCCCTTCTCCTTACACTGCCCTATTCCCAGCGAATCTCCTTCTAGCTTGGAAAATTCACCTCCCACTATGTTTCTGGCCCAAACACTTGTCATTGTCCACAAGTCCTCCATTTGGCCTTTTCTGGTAATCTTGCCTGACTTCTTCAGACTTGCATTATTGGAAATTAATAGGCAGAAATATCACCTTGGCTCACACTTCCCCAGCACCAACTATTTGCACAAATAAGGAGGAAAAGACAGATACAGACATAGATATAGATATATGGATATAGATATATAGAAAATATATAGATACAAACACAGATAAAGAGAGAGAGAAAGAGAAGAAAAAGCATGGATTAATAACTTCAAATATTATTGCTCCATATTCTTCTCCTAGAAAATCTTTAAACAGTGACACCCACACACACATTGGTGCTTAGCTCTGTGGGTGGGATGAGGAGAAAGGCATAGACGTCTGGCAAATTTCTTGACTCATCAAGAAGTTTCCACTCATACCTTGAGTAGAAGTACCTTTATCCATCAATAATCACCTGCTGACTTTAACCTTCCCACTCTAGGAACATGAGCTTAGCACAGGTAAGGGCAGAACTTCTCCTGAAGCAGGATATTGCTTCATAGACGTTCATAACTAGGAGAAGACTTGCCCTGGAAAACCTAAAGACAACTCTTCAAAGGAGAAGTGCTGTCAGTAACCATAGGCAACATGGGTGGTCTAACCATTCTCCTCCTCCTCAATCAACATCCTTCTCCAAATCTTTGTGTTCAGAAAGTCAGAAGAAGCCCTCTGCTCCCTTTAAAATGGGAGGTCATGAGGCTGGCTGCCATATTGGTATCCAGCCCTTTTCTCACCTAACATCCATCACTGGAGGGAGAAAAAGTGGTGATCCACTTTTTCTTTTCTCCTGTGTCTTCCCTTTTCTTATATAATGAGGGAGGGAGGGAAAGAGGATAGGAAGGAAGGAAGGAAGGAAGGAAGGAAGGAAGGAAGGAAGGAAGGA